GGGACCTAGTCGTATCTCCTCCTTTGGTTTTAGATATTTTGTTACCTTTATTGATGAATATTCAAGATGTACTTGGGTTTATCTTATGAAAAATCGTTCTGAATTGTTAGCTATCTTTACATCTTTTTTGAATGAAATCAAGAATCAATTTGGTCAAGTAATCAAAATATTAAGAAGTGATAATGCAAAAGAGTATTTCTCATCCTCCTTTTTTGCCATCTTGAGTTCCTATTGTATCTTGCATCAGTCTACTTGTCCTCATACACCGCAACAAAATGGTATAGCAGAACCCAAAAATAGACACTTGGTTGAAACTGCCTGTACCCTTTTGCTTGGTGCCCATATTCCTGTCCATCACTGGGGGATGCCATCTTAACTGCATGTTATCTTATTAATAGGATGCCCTCCTCCTCTCTTCATAATAAAGTCCCTTTCTCCATTTTGTTTCCTAATGTTCCTCTCTTTCATACATCTCCCCGAGTGTTTGGCTGTGTATGTTTTGTTCATGACATGTCTCCAGGTCTAGACAAACTCTCCGCTCGCGCTCTCAAATGTGTCTTCTTAGGCTATTCTCGACTTCAAAAAGGATATTGGTGTTACTCTCCTGAAACTCAGAAGTATTACATGTCGGCCAATGTCACATTCTTTGAACAGACTCCTTACTTCTCTCCATCTGTTTAGGATGTTTCTATCCTCTAGCAGGTCCTTCCTATTCCAATGATTGAGTCAAATAGCTCCACTGTCTCTGTCATTCCAAGTCTTGATCACAATCCTTCTACACCCGTTTCTCCACATACTGAGATCATCCCACACAGGACCCCAATGGATAGTCCACCTCCCCAAGACAATGGTGAATCTCCTACTTCAGATTCTTCTCCCTCGTCACCTCCTCCCACGCCTGCTGGTGAAAATGATTCAGCATGGCCTATTGCCCTCAGAAAAGGTACTCGTTCCACTCGAAACCCTCATCCCATTTATAATTTTCTAAGCTATCATCGATTGTCACACTCCTATTTTTCTCTTTTATCCTCAGTGTCCAATGTTATTATACCCAAGAATGTGAAAGAAGCACTTGATCATCCTAGATGGCGACAAGCTATGATTGCAGAAATGCAGGCTCTTGACCACAGTAATACTTGGGAGATGGTGCCTCTTCCCCCAGGCAAAAAGGCGGTTGGTTGTCGATGGGTGTATGCAGTTAAAGTCGACCCTGATGATGAAATTGATCGACTCAAAGCTCGGCTTGTTGCAAAAGGTTACACTCATGTTTATGGTCTTGATTATTGTGACACTTTCTCTCTTGTAGCCAAGATGACTACTATTCGCCTCTTCTTTGCCATGGCAGCCATTCGTCATTGGCCACTTCATCAATTGGATATCAAGAATGCCTTCCTACATGGTGATCTTGAGGAAGAAGTTTATATGGAGCAACCTCCTAGGTTTGTTGTTCAGGAGGAGTCTGGTATGGTATGCAAATTGCATCGATCTCTATATGACCTCAAGCAATCCCCACGTGCTTGGTTTGGAAAGTTTAGCTCCATTGTTCAAAAAATTGGGCTAAAACGAAGTGAAACAAACCATTCAGTTTTTTACTGTCATTCTTCTCTCGGGAAATGTGTTTACTTAATAGTAAAGACTTGGAAATTTTAAAAAGTCCAAGTGGACAACCAAGATGACTCTTATTTCATTATTAGACTAAGCTTCTAAAAGAGTATGCAAGCATTTTGCTAAAGACATGGAAATTTTAAAAAGTCCAACTGGACAACCAAGATGATTCATATTTCATTATTATGTATTAGATATGACATGCACATTTTGTTGCAAATTAATACATCATTTTAACTTCATATAAAATATAATAATCTAAAAACTATATCATTTTGAAAAATATAAAAGTGTAATTTCTCGGTCTGGTTGTTGGCTTTCAAATAATGAAAATCTCTATACAGGCTTTCACTCAAACCGATCCCAAAACTGAAGCCTGTGTTAGGCTCAGGCTAACATTTTGCAATCACGCAAATGTTTATTTGGGTGGCTGTCAGCTTAAGCCAATTTTCAACCTGAATTAGGATGGTGCCAAAAGCTTTCCCAATTACTTTATGCAATGCCTTGCAACAAAACTATTCATCACAAATATAAAACAAATTCATAAAATAATTTCACATTCCATGACAACAGGGCACAAAAAGGTAGTACAGAAAATATAAGGTGGAATGAATACGTTCACGGCTCACCTTTCCAGCAATATCAGGTGCTGAACCATGTACTGCCTCTGCAAGTGCAATACCTCCCTCACCAATGTTGCAGCTGCAAAAAGACATTAAACGTTGTCAGATGATATAATTCTGAGTATCACATTTCTTTGGATAAAACACTAAAAGTACCTCGGTGTTAAGCCCAATCCCCCAATCAAGCCAGCACACAGGTCACTGATAATATCACCATAAAGATTAGGCATCACTAGTACATCAAAAAGTGCAGGATTCTTCACAAGCTGTAGATGGTCACAAAAGAAAGTGTCAATAATTTCCTAACACATAGTATTTCTAAATGCAGTTTTAGATTACATCTAGGTAGTTATATTACCATCATGCAGCAATTGTCAATGACAACTTCCTCATAAGTTATCTCAGGATATTTCTCTGCAACCTCACGGCAACACTGAAATAATTTAAAAGAAAAGCTGTAATCAATAGAATTCGTGAATATAATTTGAGACTAAACATTTTATATAGGCATGTATTATGGTGGACCTTGAGGAAAAGACCATCAGTCTTTTGCATAATATTGGCTTTGTGTATCGCAGAAACCCTCTCTCTTCCATGAGACTTGGCATAGTGAAAAGCATACTCAGCTACCCTTAAACTTGCTTGGCGTGTAATGATTTTGAGACTTTCCACTACACCTCTCACAACCTGAAACCAAAAAATACTAAACAAATTTATATTGATCAGAATTCAGATGATAGCACTTAATACCAATGGTAGTGAAGTTTACCTGATGTTCAAGTCCACTGTACTCGCCTTCAGTATTTTCACGGATTGTAATCAGATTCACATTATCGTATCGAGTTTTGTAGCCAGGAAGACTGTAACAAGGCCGAACATTGGCATACAAATTGAGCTCTTTTCTGAGTGTAAGGTTTAATGAGCGATGTCCTTTTCCAATAGGGGTGGCCATTGGCCCTTTCAAGCCAACCCCGTTTCTCCTAACAGATTCCAAACTTTCCCATGTGAGAAAGCTTTGCGTTCTAGGGTCAATTTCAGTTCCCACATAGTGCTCTTCCCATTCTATTGGGACATCAGCTGCTTCAAATATCTAGTATTACAATAGCAATAATAATTGACAGTGTATTAGATGAATTCAACCAAGCAAGTCATTTCTACAAGTATAGAAATCTACACAGCAAGAAGCAAATATTGCAAGCAAGATGAAAAAGAATAAAGTATAGAGAATTTTAATCAGATATCACTTTCAATTGCAGAGCCAGGGCAAAGTGAGAAAAGTAAAACAACCAATATAACCTTAATACTAGGAAATCAAGGTATAGAAAGAATTTCTTCACACATATGATGCTCAATGTCTTCCAAGAATGGCTTGCAAAATAGGAAGTCTTGGCACACACAACCTTCACCAAGAAATTGTAAATCTTAAAAGCCACACTCTTAAGAACTAAGAGTCTTGTTCTTTAAAGCTTAAAATATGTGTGCGTCTGTGTGTTCATGCCCTGCAATCTATACTTGTGTTTCTGTCATTGTCTTTGCTTCATAGTATATATAGAAATCAAGAGATATTTCAAGTCCAGCTTAAATTACTGAAAATTATATAAAACAAAACTCGGCAGAAAGATGAAACTTGAGAGCGTATCAGTAAAGGATCATTTAGCTTCGCGAAGAAGTTAGTCGTATTATTTCTATCATCCCTCGCACACATTACACAAGCCATAGCGATACTGACACCATAAACATTAGCCACAGCAGCATCTCGTAACTTCATCTAGTTAGTTGCCCCTTTCCACAATCTAAACATTGAGAAACCACACATAAAAGAAGGCAACTGCAGATGTAGCCCGAGACGCATTGCATTCTAAAAAAAGATGACACCATATATAATTATACAATCGCAGGAATAATGCAATGAACCACAGGCCTGAATTTGAATATATTTTCACAATGAAAAAGTGAGTTTTAATTTCAAAATTCTCCCCTCTTGCACGTCAACAACAACAGACATTTCACAAACGTTCAAACGAAAGGTTTCCTTTGTGTTTACAAAAATTAAAATTAGAATTTATTTAAAGAGAAAACGAATTCCCTAGAACAATTATTTAGATTTTAAACATAATATTATTGAAGTAAAGTTCGCTCAGGAAATTCTAGATTATCATTTTGTAGGTGCGTAATTAACTATTGTATACATAATTTCACGTAGAAACAGAGCGAGCGAGTATAAATCAGAAACACAGACACAATAGAAAAACGAAGGCATCGGAATTGAAAGCGATTCCACGTATCTACAAAGGCGGAAGAATTTGTGAGAAGGGAACCTTTTTGACGGAATCAGCGATCTCGGGGCCGATGCCGTCGCCGGGGAAGAGAGTGGCGCGGATCGGGGAGGAAGCAGCGGATGAGAAGGCCCTAGGGTTTGGCAGGAAGCGCCCTCCGAAGGTTCGTCGCAGGAGCTGAAAAGTCATGCTTGACCACGAGCACTTTTTCACGCGCACAGCAAAAACGCAAACCAAATTGTTATTACAACCAAAAGAAACGAAAGTAGTGTATTAGTGAGACCGGGCGAATAAAAAATAGACGAGATTGTGAGGGTTGTATCTGCAGTGGAAAAGTATTGAGGGGTAAAATTGACAAACATAAATGTGTAGTTGAAAAATTCAATACAAAACAAGGCTATGTTTGACAACAATGAAATACATATATAGTTAAAAAGCTAGTTAAAAGTTGGAAGTTAAAAACCAGTTCTGAAGTTTTGAAAGCTAATTGTTTTTCTTTCTCACTAAATATTTGATTTTCAAAGCTCCGTAACTCAGACTTTTTTTCTCAAGTAATTTTCTTTTAAAAAGTTATAAAAAGAAATTTATTCCTATTTTATTTATCCAACTATACCAATTCTCATGTGTTTATAATTTTTTTCTTTATAAGGAGTAAATAAAAAGACGAATTGTCAATAATGAATGAAAATTAAAATAAATATTAAAAGTTGGTATATGATTTTGTTTCTGGGTTTTTAAATAATAAAAATATTAAAAAAAAGTTAAATAATGTTTTCATAGAGTCAAAGAGATATTCGGTAAATATTTTAATTTCATGAACTCCTTTAATTTTCAATTTCAAAATTATTCATCTCTCTTCATGGTATTCATTCTTTTTACAACAAATGGATGTTCTGACACAAAAAGACAATTTAATGTTCAAGTTAGTATAAACATCAGTCAAAGGTCAAATTGTAATTAATATAAACATAAAAACAAATTATCTTAACTATTGTAATATCTATAGTTAATCTAATACCCATAGTGCTTACCTAGATGAGCTTGAGTTTGGGTTTGATGGTTCAATGATCTATTTATCTTTATTGAGGTAATGCTTAAGCATATTTTGCTAAGTTTCAAAATAAACGACACACCATTAGATTTGGTAGGTAAATATGTATTCGGTTAGGCTACATAGTAGGTGGTTCACCACTAGTTCAAGTAGAGAGCACCTAGCTCTAGTAGGCAGTACTTGATAGATTACACCGGGCTCTAATAGGTGACACCTGACTTTAAATAGGCGGCATCAAGCTAACAACACTAGTAGGTGACACTTAACTCTCTAGTAAATAACACCTTCTAGATAACACCTGGTAGGTAACACTTGACTCTGATAAATGACACCTTGTAGAGAACATCTAGGATATATTATATCCTAATTTGTTCTTAGACTCGATTAATATTAATAAAATCGAAAAATAATTGATGAGGTAAAGTACAAATGAAAAAAAAATATTTATAAGAAGTAAATTTAAATTTACGTGTATAATTTAATTTTATATATATATTGTTATTATTAATAAGGGTTAAATATGTTTTTAGTCCCTAAACTATTGGTCGTTTCTGGTTTTCGTCCATCTTTCAAAGTAAGGTACAATTTGGTCCTCATTCTTTTCAAAACGTTCATTTTAGTTCTCGGAATTTTGGATTTAGTCCTCATTTGTTGCTAAATGAGGACCAAATTTTTAAACAGTGTTTAGTTTTCGAGGACTAAAACGAACGTTTCGAAAAGAATGAGGACCAAATTGTACCTTACTTTGAAAGAGGGACGAAAACCAGAAACGGCCAATAATTTAGGAACTAAAAACATAACATATTTAATCCTATTAATAATGATTGAAATAATATAATCTTCAATATAAATCATTGTTAAAAACTTAATCAAATAGATAGTGATGGAAAATAAATTATAAACATTTAAAAAATTCATTAGAAAGTATAAAACAGTTAAAATTTTGAGGTGGTGTACATTTAAACATTATTAATAACGATTAAATTGTTTATCAAATAATTGAAAAATAAATTGATAATGAATCTTAAAAAATTGAAATAAAATATCTACCGTAGTTCGAATTTTTATTTTAAATAGGCATAATTGATATTTAAAAAATAAATAACATTTGTCATTAATAAATATTTCATTAAAGGTAAAACCGACTCACACACAACTCATTGATTTACTTTTAATTATTACGTTCAAGATTATAAATGAAATTCCATAAATAAATTTGTGGTAGTTTTATGTTCATTGAAGAGAAATTTTTTTTTGTAAATTTAATTTCTCTCTCCCTTTATCACAATCAGATGTGATGATAGATATAGGTTATCTTTCAATCAAATCCTTTTGAATTTGACTAAAAAATATTAGTAATATTTTTGAAGTTTGAGAATGATTCAAATTCACTTACCAATTGAGTAAGTGAGCATTTAGAGAATGAAATTCGAGAATATTTATTATTATCTTATATTGAATTAAAAGAGATAGCCGGTTTGAAAATTATAATTAGTTCAACATATGTTTGTTTTCCAATGATGTACCAGGTTTGCTATCCAAAAGAGAAATTGAACTTTCATGATGTTTGAGACCAAACTAATTTTACAGCACCATATATGGTGTTATCCTCTGAACTAATAAAAATAAAGAAACAATTGGAAGTACTAGAAAACTAATTCATTCATCCTAGCTAGTATATTGTCAGAACCAGTAAAATCAAAAGTCAGAAATCAGTAAAATTCACACACGTATTTGTTTAGTGGAATTCACGTGTCAAGAGGGGAGCTCGACACTCAGATGACGAACGCCAGGTGTCAAGCGAAGAAGACCCGGAAATAAGTCAGTGGAAAGCAGGTGTCGACAGATGAGGGGACGTCCGTTTTGAAGTGTGAAGCAAAACTTGGATTTTCAAAAAAACCTACCCCACTCTCTACATGCACCCTCTTTTCAAAATTTCTGAAGAACCCCATTCTCTCCTCCTTCTCTCTACATCCTCTTCATCTTCTCTCTTAGAAAACACTCACTTTCTCTCCTCCGATCAATATTCCAGCACCGTAGAAGCACTTCCGGCGTCCAGAGCTTCCAGATAAACCGTTCGGTTTGTGAAGCTGGGCTGTTGAAATTGTCGAGCGTTGACGGTAGAAGAACCTGCAGTGGTCAAATTGTATTTCTGCGTCTGGGAACGTTCGATCACGCTCAAAGGTAAGGGAAGCTTATTTAATTTAATTTGTATGCTGTTGAAATGTTTTAACATTCGTTTAGTTGATTGAATGAGTTTGATGCATGATAGTTGACATGATTGGATTGAATGAACGTTCGTTTATTTAATGAGATGAAATGAATAGCTGAGTTAGGTTGTATGTGTGATATATGAAACTATATGGTATTGTATGTATGAAGTATGAAAGTTGATTATGATGTAATTTTATAAGTTAGGAAGTTATGAAGTTATAGTTAAGACAATGAGTTTGAATGTAATGATTCTGTATATTGAGATTTCACTATGATAGTACGTTCGTTACTGAACGGTCATTGACCGTTCGGTTTTCCTCAGTAAACCTAGTGGAAACGAGATTCTTTCATTTGGAGAGAATCCTAGTGTAGGACGAGCGCCCTCGGTGGTAAATATTATGCTTGAGCGTTCAGCCGAGCAAGTTGTGCCTGAGTCTATTGTGATAAACTCAAAAATATATATTTATGTAATTGTATATTATTGTTGTTCATAAACACCACTTCATAAGTATTTAATATTTATCAAACCTTTTATTAGAAGTTTTTAGTGCTCGTTCTTATACCAAGCGCTCGTACTCATTTCTTGTATAATCAATCTTGGTAAAATAGCGTTCGTCCAACTTCAGTAATATTTTACTCTACCATGTTCGGTCATTTACTAGCATTGGATATCTGTATGTGAATTATTCTAAATCTAGTTCCTTAATATCTTGACTAGTCTTCTTTCATTGGATCCGGCCTAGGGCCTCCATACTTGATTTATTCTTGAGTATTGGTTTGAACTCAAGCGAGTCAGTTCATTCAACTGCCTCACGGGGTAAATAACGTTCGTCGCATGTTGTACATTGTACTCGGTTATTCTTAATCTAAAGGGAACTCTCGGTCTTATTCATATTCTGAACTGGAGACCTATCTGTCTCGTCTCCAAGTGTCGTCCTCGTTCTGAAGAGGGCTGAACGTCGGTATTTGACGTTCTTGGAAATTGGTGATAAAATGGCATTAATGGAAGATTATAAAGATGGAAGAGTATATAGAGAAATTAAAAGTTTGTGGATTTTGGAAGACGGTTCCAGGGAGGAACGACTCTGAATGAATATTGAATTTGATCGTAAATTGGTAAGCTTAGCTGGCGTTCCCTGATTTCCGTGAGTACTCGTCCTCATCCTAGTAAAAAAAATGGGTTTTTAACGCGCCATTATGCCACGGTCACTAGAAACCGCAGCATACTGGGCGCGGGTGGCAGTTTTGTAAATAAATCGCAGGATATGCCGCGGTTTCAGAGGGGAACCGCGGGATATACGCCAGTCAACCCATCCCCTTTGACGCCACGTCTAAAAAAAAATTAATAACACCTAATGCCGCGGTTCTCTGGAAACCCGCGGCATATACCCCTGCCAATTATTGCAGGGGATGATGAGTCAGAGAATTTCAGAATTACAGGGGTATATGCGCGGTTCTGAGAGTACGCAACCTATTCTCCGACTGAATAAATTTAAAATGAATTTGAAATATTAGAGGAATATAACCGCGGTGCCCTCCGAACCGCGGCATATAGTTTAAATAAATTTCAAAATGCCATCTTAACCGCGTTGCCGCCGAACCGCGACATATAGTTTTAAAAATAGTTTCAAAATGCCATCTTATACGCGGTTAAGTAGTGAACCGCGGTAGATTCCCCAGTCATAGTTTAAAAAATAACTTGGAACAGTATCGTCTTGTCGCGCAAGACGCACAACTTCGAGTTTTCTTCTCCGCCGACCACCCATCTCAGTTCCCTCGTTTCTTGACCGTTTAACTCAAAATTGTTCGGTCATTCCATTTTGACGATAAAAATAGTTTTTAGCCGATCAAAATCGTGAACCCTTCATTTCCTCGCTTCATTCCCTTTGTTTGCACCAAGCTTTCGTCGCCCCTGTTCCAGGTATTTATGCCCTTTTGCATTCTTAACATATTTCTTCATTATGGTAACTTAACAAATTTTGATAACTTTAACAAATTTTGATTTTTTCCC